GCGCCAGCAGGCAGAGCGCGGCCAGGGCCAGGGCCAGCGCGGGCGCGGGGCGCATGGTGCCGGCGGCGCGGCGCCCTCTAGCATCTCCTCCCGCCGCTCAGCGCTCGCAGCGCCGCCACCAGCCGCCCGCGGGGCTTTAAACTCGGGTGGGGCGGAGCGGGAGCCGCGAGGGAGGGAGCAGTACAGAAGGCGGGGCTCCCGGGTGGCGAGCCCCCCGCCCCATTGGCCCTGCCCTCCTCGCTCCGCCCCGCCTCGGGGAGATCCACCGCCCCGCCCCACGCCCCCCTCCCACCAGCCCCAGGTGAGCGCTCACCTGGCGCCTTGCCCACCCGGGAAGCGGCGGCGGAACATGAAGCCCCCAGGGCAGGCCTCGAGAGGCGGGGTAGGGGGGTGCCAGGCTGAGGCTGAGGAGATTCTGCAGGGTGGAGCAACGTGCAATCTTACTCCGAAGGGTGGGGGACAGGAGGAGGGCTGCGCCTGGAGTCTGCGGGAAAACCCTCGTCATTGTCCGCCCCCTTGCCCAGGGGGCCCGGGGACTCTGAGGGCTGGGGCGCCCTAATGCAGAACCTCTCTTGGGGTGCTGGAGAAATTCATATTCAATTACTAGGGCAAAAAGCTTTTGCTGGACAAAGGGAGTCCTGGAGGGACCCTTGGTCAGAGAGAAGGACGGATAAGGGATCCTATCTTTAAACGGGAGGCTGGCTGTCACCAGGAAGTACACAGCACAGCCCCCAGTAGGTGTTTAACATAATGCTGGTGATATGTGCCAGTACAGGGATTCAGACTCTGGGCAGTGGAGCAGGCAGAGAGCCACAGGGGGAGGAAGGACCTGCTTCCTAAAGGTATATGAGAGCCAGAACCTCTATCAGAGAGAACAGCAACCTCAGGTGTTGGGCCCCAAAGCTCTGGCTTGCTTATTCCTTTTAAAAGTTTAACTCTAATTCCTGCAGTGAAAGTGCAGTCACAAAGCAGGGATGGCACCAGTCTAGGAAGGAGACAAGTATACAACCAATGATCCAAGTAAGTTTTAAAGCATTTTTGAGAGTCTTGAACACTGGATCAAATCAAACAAAACAAAATATAACTTTGCATGTAGTTGCCCCCCCCCAATCAACCATGCATCAACATCAGGTGACAGTGACCTTGGTTTTGGGGTGGACACTGGCATGATGGGGGGCTGGGAGAGGTGTTAAGAAACTGGTAGCTATATTGTTAGGTGTTTCATTAACAGGGGAAGCCCCTATCGCAGTGAGCCTCTTTGAGTTGTTTCTCTGTGAAATGAGAAGACTACATAGCCATAGCAAATCTTGTGGGTCTACTTATAGGCCACATTGTATGCAGAGAGCTAGAGTCCTACTGTAAATTATGAACTCCAGATGTGAAATAGGGATAAAGACAAATAGCTTACAGGATTTTTGTGCAAATATGTCAAATGCCTAGGAGGCCCTGGCACCCAGTATCAGTTGTTATGCCGGTTCTTGTTATGCCTGCAGGCAGAAGCAGTGTTATGCTGGTGTTTACAACTGCCTTGGGGTTGGGGATGGGTGTTTGATTTGTATCATGTGTTGAGTACCCTTAAATGTAAATGTCCCCACCATGATTGGCTTCAAACTGTAAACTGGGTTCTTGATCACTGGAGTTAGGAAGAGAACAGCATTTGGCTCTGCAGGCAGTTTGGACCTGACTGAAGCATGTGACTGGTAAGACCTTGAACCAGGATCGAGGAGGCTCAGAGGAGAGGCCTCAGAAGGAGTGTGAGTCAGAGAGGAGGAAGAGCTGTGGACTGGAGTGGTGGAGAGATGCCACCAAGCCCTAGCCATTCCAGTGGACATCCAAGTGTGTGCAGGTGAGGAGGAAGTGGGTCCAGCTTGGGGGCCCAGCTGCCTTTCCTGTCCCCAAGCCCATAAACACACCATACACACCAGCAAGGGCTGGGGATTTAGCTCAGTGGTTCCACCACCTGCCCTGCAAGCGCAAGGACCTGAGTTCGATCCCCAGTACCAAAAACAAAAACAAAAAAGGGCCAGGGATTTAGCTCAGTGGTTCCACCACCTGCCCTGCAAGCGCAAGGACCTGAGTTCGATCCCCAGTACCAAAAACAAAAACAAATCACTTTCATACACACCAGCACGTATGTGCACTGAGAATGTGCAAGATGGGGGAGGGGACAATTTCTCCCCAACTGACACATCTTGAACGTTTCATAAATGTTACACATTTATGTCTAATGGAAAACTGTGCTGTAGAGGGTGGAGGACTCACCAAAATCAAATAGAGATACCATTGGGAGGATAATGAGAAACACATAGATAATGATCAGATGGATGCTCTTGAGCCCCTACCAACCAATGGCATGGACCATGCCCTTGGGGTCCTTCTTCCTCTGCCAGCTGAGGTGACCCCCCTAGCTTGCCCATAGAGGCTTCAGGGCTGTGCTTCTCCTTCTTAGCTACAGAGCTTCACAGAATGAGCTCCAAGTGTGCACCCACCAGGCCCTCACCATGTTCTCACTGAAACCTCAAGTGCCTGGCACTCAAGCATGTTTGATATTTATACTGGAAAAATTATTTGAAAGGGGGAGGAGACAGATCATTATCCCCATTGCCCAGATGAGAAAACAGGTTGGGAAAGCTGAAATAGCTGGTGCACATAGCTTTGGTAGAGGAGGTGGGAGTTGAGTCCAGGGCCAGGAAGACTGCCTACACTGGCTGTGAGTCATGATGGGCTCCGGTACAGAGACAAGGTCTGACACACAGCAGCCTTTGACATTCTGTCAGAACATCAGGTATGACCTAAGTGCTGATCCTCAAGGGGCCCACAGTCTCGGGGGGCGATGGTAATGAAATAGATCATCCTACGTTGCCGTATTGTGCCCCCTGAAGAAGGACTTGAAGAGTGGCCCTTGAGATTTACAACCTCTGGGTGCGAATAGCATGTTGCTCTCCCCACCCTGCCTTGCTAACTCAGGGACAAGCCTGAATTTTACTTGTCTCTTTGTCTCCAGAGTCTGGTGCAGGCTCAGCACAGTAGGTACCTAGGAAATGTGAGCTGTTGCCAGCTTCTACCTTGGTCTATGGATTTTGCGTGGGGCTGCAGAGATAGGGAGTGTCGTATAAACATGATACATGTTCACAGAAGTGCTCCCTCCTATGCTGATACAAGCTCCCTTGGGCACATACATGGACACACATAAAGCAGCACAAGTCCCGGCATTCAGTGGCATGCAAACTTCCCCACATCTCCCCCATGGATGGCTAAATTCCTAGGTGAACCCACAGCTTCTCCGGATCCACATGTTCACTCAGGTATGCAAGAAGCATTCTTAGACTTCCACATGCAGCTACCTGTCTCCATGAACCAGCCAAAGGCAGCCAGGGCTCAGGGCCTGGGCTTTCTCCTCTTGCACATATACACCTTGAAGGTCACAAGCATGGGGCCAAAAACCTTGCAATGGTTGCATCAAAACCAGCTCCAAGATGTCTCCAGGCCTCTTTCCTCTCCTACCTGCTCACCACCTGTTCCTACTCCACTAGGCCACCTGCCCGAAGCAACTTAAAAAAAAACAAAACTGTCCATCTCGGTCTGTCCCCAGATCCTGCACACCTCCAAACCCCAGCCAGAGTGCACTCAGAAAATCCTCTGCTTACCACCAGGCCCCAAGGGAGTGGAAATGCCTTCCAGGTGGTATTATCCCTCCTGCCTGCACTAGAAATGGACTCTGGACCCAACAGGAAATGGGGCAGGCAATGCCCCAGCAGTTCTGAGAGAAAGCATGAGAGACCATGCAGACCCAGTGTGAAGAGGACCAGTGTGGGTTTGCTCACGTTCCCTCTCCTTGTCCTCTCCCATCCTCCCTGTAGCCCTGTCTTCTTTGCTATGGCCTCATTATAACCAGTTCTGTTCTGACCTCTCCCATCAGTCCTAACCCCATACATTTGAACTGTATCAGCAATAGCCTTGCAACACTTGGCTTGCATTATCCGATCTTGGAGTACTGTGAAGTAGCATGCTGCTCATCGTTGTCCCCACTCTACAGATGAAACACTAAAGTCTGGAAAGGTGAATAACTTCCTTGAGGTCACAGGACTTGCTGGCACTTGGTGGAAGGAACCTGATGTTTCTGGCACATCAGACTGAAATAGAAGTGAAGCTAAAATAGGCTCAGGATAGGCTTCAGGATACACTGAGCTTGAAAATGATGAGAAAGGGGCAGAGAAAGACATCAAAACATTAACAGTGGGTGCCTTAGAGGTTGGGGATGCATGTAAAAAATATTTTTACCCCCTTTTATTTTCCAAATTTTCTATTACAAGCATGTTTGATATTTATGCTAGAAAAATTACTTGAAAAGGGGAGGAGACAGATATAGAAGAATAAATTTCTAACAGAACTATAAGCATTGACAAGAAGGATATTTGGGAAGGGGGTAGGGAAGGATTCCTGGATCGATACTCCCCCACCCCCCATGGTATTTGTTCATCAGCCTTTCTGTGGAAAGGGCCCCAATCTTCTCTTGGGGAGCTCATCCCTACCTGGGGCAATTCTGTTTCCTCCCTCCCTGGCTCTTCTTCCTCACTGCAGACCCACACCCTGAGCTGTGTTGGGAGCGTTGTATGCCTGACCCTCTCTTGCCCCTTGCCTGCCCGATGCCCTTCTCCAGGCCTTGACACAGCACCCTTGGTGCCTAGTTGAGGAAGGCTGAGTGCAGAGTTGGTTTCCTCCTGGAAACCTGCCTTGACTGAGCACTCCTGCCTCATCTTACTCATCACCTGGGTGTTAGAAGCTTCACTGGCACAACTATATTTTGTACCAGTGGCTACATTAACACACAACATACTTGAATTTAGGAGATGTTAGGCATCCTTGCTAAACTGAGACCCTGTCTCTTGTTTCTTTTCCCTTTTTTCTATTTTCCTCCCCACCCTGCCCCACCCCAGGGATTGAACCCAGAGCCTGGAATGTACTAGACAAATGCTCTATCACTGAGCTACAGCCTCCTGGATCTCCCCTATCCCCATTTCTTTTATATCTCTTGCTTTCTCCCATAGAAAAACTGAACTTAGCCCACAGTAGGTTGATCATTAAATATTTGAATTAATGAGTGAATATATAACACTAGGCCCTGGACAGTAGATCCAACTTATTATTATTTTGTTTTTGTTTTTGGTACTAGGGATCGAACTCAGGACCTTGCACTTGCAAGGCAGGTGCAGTGCCACTGAGCTAAATCCCGGGCCCAAACGCAACTTACTGATGGCTAGAAATCCTCCCTTGAGTTGATAATGTTCCTGAGCGACCAGGTGTCCTCCCCTCTGTACTAGCATAGTTGGAACTAGGAGGAGTGTTCTGAGTAGTCCAGTTCTGTCACAGATACGAAGGTAGGTAGGTAGGTAGGTAGGTAGTGGGACGGTAGTGACCTGGAATGAACATCCCAACTTCAAAAGCCTGCTCTATCATTCTCACAAGTTGACAGGTGGCATATATGTCTCGCTTTGCCTGGCCACTGGACTCACCATGAATAATCCCTCTACTCCATTTCTGGTTACCATTTCCAGAGTTGTTAGGGCACAGCAAGATGACTGTGTAGGCCCCACAGCGCAGCAAACGCACAGCTCTGTGGGTCTTTGACTCCTCAGAATCCTCCAAGAGGCCTTTCCAGGGGCCAAGCACCAAGGAAAGACTCTACAGGAGGTGTTTTGCAGCAGAAAGGTGCTCCACACAGCGCACAGCCACAGCTTGTGGTCACAAGAAAGAAAGAAAAAGGAAAGAAGGAATGAAGGAAAGAGGAAGGCAAGAACAACTTTCTTAGAAAATAGAAATAAAGAATAATGCCAGAATTTACTATAAATAATATTCTAGGGAATATTAGGCACAGAAGCCTTTGCAACAACTTCTATTTTGTTTTCATTGCAGTCACTTCTTGCTCTCTGCAAAGGAAGGGTGAGAGAAGAGGATCCTGTCTTGAAAATCAGAAGGTCCCTAGAGGAATGCAGTCTTTTGCCATTTTAGGAGACAGCCACTTCCTCCAGGCCGCACTTTCATAACTGCAGGTATAAATAGGTTTGCGGAAGACAATCATTAACCAAGTCCTGTCACAGACAGTTGGACCCCTGAAAGTTTTCCTGAGCTCAGTACAGCACTCTGGGGCACAGCCAGACCCCTTTCTTTAAACCGGGGAGAGTTTCAAACCTGGGTTTATTTCTGGGAAACAGTAAGCTCAGGCTTAACTTGTGTTTTTTTGTAATTAATTTAAAAAATTTTTATAGTACATGATTGTGATATATAATGATTACGTTCATTGTTGGGAGTTGGTACAGGTACATAACACTTCTTAATTCTTTTTACTTCCCCTTCCCCTTCTAACCTTGGTCTCTTTTTAAGTTATTTAAAAAAAATAACATGACTTACTTCATTTCCCTGAAAATTTTCCATTTCATATATAGTATGAGTACATAATATCAATTGAACATACCGTCATCCCCTAGTACCCTGGGGAATTGGGTCCAGGATAACCCTCCTCAGATACCAAGATCGAAAGATGTTCTAGTCCCTTCTATAAAATAGCATAGTTGGGGCTGGGGATGTAGATCATCCTGAGTACTTGTCTAGCATGAGGTCATGAGTTTGATCCTGAAAATCACAAAACAATTAATAAATAAAATGGCATAGCATTTGTATATAACCTGCACAATCCTCCTGTGTACTTTAAATCATCTGTAGGTCACTTGTAACACCTAATACAATATAAATAATTGTTATACTGGGGCCGGGGATTTAGCTCAGTGGTTTTGCCACCTGCTGTGCAAGCTCAAGGACCCGAGTTCGATCCCTGGTACCAAAAAAAACCACAAAAAAAACCCTACAGCAGGTGTATCCAACCTGCAATCCTGTGCAGCTAGTAATGTGGCTCCACCAGATTGTAAATTTTAACATTATTATGTGATTTTTAGAAATATTTTTCACGATTGGACTGTGTGGTGCTTGAGCACCAAGTAGAGGCGGACACAGTGCTAACTCAGACTCCTGCACTTGCCACATACATTTGAATGGAAAACAAAGTGTATCAGATATTACATGTGTTTGTGCAACTTAGTAAGAAAAACTCAGCAATTACTTAGTATTTAACCTACCTACATTTGGGCTTGTTGTGTTGTTTTGTAAAATAAGTTGAAATAGTTCTTTTTGGCAGCTGAGGGACAGGAACCACAAAAATGTATCAAATAGTTTTTTGTTCATGATATTGTTAGAATTACATATACAATATAAACAATACTAGAAAAATAGTGGCTTATTTATCAATTTTTGTATCTTAGCATGGAAATTTTGTTACTTATATACATTAACAATATTATATACTTTATATATAGCCCAACACAATTTCTTTTCACTCAATGTGGCCCAGGCAAGCTGACAGGTTGGACATTCACAGCTGACAGCATTTGACATTTCTATATAACTGTAAGCTAGTTTTGAGTACTTATTATGTGCCGGGCATAATATCAACTCATTTAATACTCACAGTATTTTACAGTTGAGGAAACTGAGGCACAGGGAAGCTAACTGGCCAGCTCATAAACTTGGAAGTGCAATTAGAACCCAGGGAGTTGGTGTCAGAGGCTGTGTGTTTAATCCCTGTGCTGCAGTAAAGAGAAGAAAGTAAAAGGAGAATCAACTCATTGTCCCAGGGAGAAAGTAGCTAGGACAATACTGAAGGCAGTGATATTTGAGCTGGATCTTGCAGAATTTTTTTTCCTTTGAATCCTTCCCCTTTACTAAATGGCACAGTTCACCCTATTTTATATAAATGTTTGAAAAGGAGCCATGTTTTCCCACCGGTTGTTGTTATAACTGTAAGGGATGACCCTGCAAAGCATGCCTTTGTTGTACTGAGTTCCACTTGGGAGCAAAAGGAGGCTGAAAGGGTGTTGGGGATTTAGGATAGGAAGTGTCTTTTGAAACCCGCCATACCCTTCCAGTCTGTGTTACTGCCTCTGGAATCACACTGCCAGTCCCCACTCGCACCCCCAGTGCGAAAGTCATCCCCAGTTTCTCCTCTGGGCTTAGCAAAGAGCTTCACACCTTCCTCCTCTTGAGGGCTTCTACGATCTGGCTGTAATGGCCCCATCTCTCCAATAGGGGTCACCGACCCCAACAAGGTGGACACCTATGGTAGCGTGGAGAGAATCCCGGGTCCTCACCTAAACTTGTCACCGGCTTCCTCTGTGACTTGGATTTTCTTATCCATAAAACAGGGATAATACTTATCTGCCAATTTACAAAACATTGATGAGCATATGAGGAAGACTTGGCCACCTTTCAGTGGATTCAGGAGCAGCACACTGACTCTCTCCCAGTTCCTGTCCAGATGATTTCATTCCACAACTACGTTTGAACATTACTCACCGCTCCAGGTGCCACGTATGATCAGAAATTATTCCTACCTGACACAAAAGGACTTTGAATAAAGGTTTAAAGCAGAATAATCCTGCCTATGGGAGGAGGCTCTGGCTCTCCCTGCTGGGCGCCAGAAACAACAGCCTCTGCCCTAGGGAAGATAGTGAATGGAGTATGAAGCGAAAGTGTATCTACCTCCTGTGACTGGAAGAATCTCTCACCCAATAACTCATCTCCACCTCACACGATCCAGCCTACACATGGGGAAACTGAGCGCCCAGAAGCGAATGACCTGCTCAAGGATCTAGCTTCCAGAAACTTCCCAGACAGCTAATTCCAGAACGTGGACTGGGAAGGGACAGTGAGAGAAGACAAGAGGCCAGAGCGGTCTGGAAGGGACAGAGAACGGAGACTTTCTTGCCCTGACACCCCGGCTGGCGTCGGGAGCCAAGGGCGGCGGCCAGCCTTCTGCACGAGCGCCCCCTGCTGGTTTCAGGTCTGGGGCATCCAGGCGGAGGCGGTTCCTCAGCGAAGGGCCCCTCTAAGGCCGCGAAATACGCTCAGAGAAAAAGCAGGAAGGCCCCAGGGGTCGTCCTAACCCCTTCACTGCGCACCTAGCACACACAAAGTTGTAGGGGTAGTGACCTGCTCAAGGGCACTCAGCGAGCCAGCGGGTCGAGGATCTCCCAGGTTGCCTGCCTCACAGCACAGGGCCCTCCATCTCCCCTGTTCTAGCCCGCGCTCTAGGGCCCAGAGGGTCCCTGACTCTGCACTTTGCACCCTGCAAGCCCCTCCCCGCCCCTCTAGCTCCACCTGTTGGAGGAGCCCTGGAGCACGGCAGCCGCAGTGCGCTCCCTTGTCGGAAGCACTACAGCTAACGGCGGCCGCCCCTCTCCAGCCCTGAGTTAAAAGACCTCTCGGTGGCTATGTCTTCTGATTGCATTGTCTTGAGGCCAGGCAGGGGTCTGTTCTTTTATAGATTCTCCACTCTCTAGCCTCTCCCCACCCAGAGGTGCTGGGCTATAGGGCTGAACTCTCATTTGATGATAAATATTGATGCATGACTTTTTCTTCTTCCCACTGTAAAACAGTGCAGCAGGGTAGCTCTGGCCCTGGACAGCCTGGATACCTGGGTTGGCTCTTCAGCTCTTCCTTCTTAGCTGGGTAACCTTGCACAAGTAACTTAGTCTCTCATAGTTTTTGTTTCCTGACTAAAATAGAGACAAAGCTACTTTTTGAGCTGATTGTGAGGATTCAATGAGATCATGAATGTAGTGTGCCTGGCACATAACAGGTGGTGCTCAATAGATGGAAGATTTAATTAGACTACCAAGCAGCCTTGGGGTGGTCCTTCTGGTCTGATCCCTCTCGTATTTGGGACTTTCTTTCCTAGGTGTGAATCTTCCAACCTGAATCTACCCAGTCTCCTGCATCCTACTGAAGGCAGCATCTGGGAAGGGGTCTCATGGTAATTACATGGGGTCACAGGGAAAGGAGAGTGTTTTAGAATACAGAAAGTTGACCAAACATGGGAGTGACTGGGCCACAGTCAGGTAATATTCCCATGAAAGTAACCCTGGGTACTTGGGCTTGTTCCTCTCAATCTCTTGTTTATGTTGGCTTCCTTGCCCTGTGCTTGCTCTTTTTCTTTCTTTTTCTTTTTAGAGACAGAGTATCACTATGTAGTCTAGGATGGCCTTGAACGCATAACCCTCCTGCCTTAACTCCCTAAGTAGCTAGGATTACAGACACATACCACCATGCCTGGAACTCTTTTCTCTTTCTTTTCTTTTCTTTTCTTTCTTTCTTTCTTTCTCAGTACTAAGGATTGAACCTAGGACCTCAAGCATGCTAGGCAAATGCTCTACCACTGAGCTACATCCCCACCACATTTTTTTTTTTTTGAGTCAGAGTCTCACTATTCCTGGCCTTGAACGCACTATGTAGCCTAGGCTAGCCTTGAACTCCCAACAATCCTCCTGCCTCAGCCTCCCAAGTGCTGGGATAACAGGTGTGTGCCACCATGCCAAGCTTCCCCAACAGTTTTTAAAGTTTATTTTGGGAAAGGGTCTCACTAAATTGCCCAGGCTTGAACTTATTTATGATCCTCCTGTTCAGCCTCCCGGGTTGCTGGGATGATAGACATGCACCGCCATGCCTGTTTCATCCCGTGTTCTTTCACAGCTTTCTGCCTCTTAGTGCTGATTACTCCTAGCTCCTGCGTCTTAGAACTTATAGCCTGTATTATGACCTCTCATGGTTCTCTGACACCCTAACTATGCCACCTCCATTCAGTGTGGGACCCAATAGCATCTCAACATTAATGTCTGAGAAGAGAGGACACCCCCACTGCTACTGCCTGGACACGTGGAGGCTACTGGCAATCCACGGACTAGATGCCTAAAGACCAATTTGGTTGGCCCAGCTGGTCCAGTTTTCAGGGGTGTGTGCTGTGAACATATTTGAGTGCCTAATAGAATGAGTATTTGATAGACATTGTTATAAGGGATATTTGAAAGTCATAAAAATTCATTTGAAATCCTCAGAAATGGAAATTACCCCAGTGAACTGTTTTATACAGTAAATAATATACTCTGTCTGGGAGGAGGAAATGGCAGAGGTGGTGATCAGCGGCAAAATTCAGCCTCTCTGAGATCCAGAACCCAGACACTGGGAAATAACAACTTGGAAAAGAAGAAAAAAAGAGAAGTAGATCACCAGGAATCAGGAAAGACTGACGGGAAAATTAGAAGCTGCAGAGAAGTTGGAGAGAGGTCGTGAGCGTAGAGAAAAGAACAAAACAATCTCAACACTGTCCCCAGCTTGCAGCTCAAGGAGAGAGGAATCTGGCTCCGCAAAAGCAAGCACAGATCTGAGGTCTGATTGCCTTCCCTATCTACCAGTGTGAGCAAGGACACGTCTCAGTGTGGACATTGCCACCACATGGGCTAACCAGAGCGGCCTTTGAAGTAGGTGAGGCACCTCACAAACCCACAGGGCACAATGCTAGGGGAGAAAATTGTGACTTGCTGGATTCCAAAACTGCCAACCTGGAAGGAAACCACTCATTTAAATACACATAGAAAAAAAAAACTGTTTTTTTTTTTTCGGTACCGGGGATTAAACTCTGGGACCTTGCGCTTGTGAGGCAGGCAGCAGAACCACTGAGCTAAATCCCCGGTCCAAAAATTTTTTTGTGTTCTTGGACTCATTTTCTTTTTTTCCTATTTTTTTCTTTTTCTTCTTCACTCATTTACTGGCATTTGGAGAATTTTTCCTTTTTTCTTTCTTCTTTTTAATCATCTTTTAAATTTTTTTCTATTTTTTTATTTTTCATAATTTCTTTTTTCTCTCATTTTTCTTTTATCTTCTATTTCTTACTTGTTTTTTTTTTCTATTACCTTACCTAATTCGGTAAATATCCTTCTATTCCTTAATAGGATCCTTTGTCTCATTTTTCTTTCCTCCTAATCTTGCATTGTTCAATTTAAAAAATTTTTTTCCTTGCATTCTCCTATTCCCAACCCTATATCTTTAATAGTATAACCATTAAGCTTTATTAATCATTGGATAGTTAGTTAACCCTATGTTACTCCTGTTGAATTCTTTTCTATCATTAGTGAAGGTATAGTTGTCACATTCAGTAGATTTGCTGTATGTCAGTATTTGGTTTGTCTTAGTGTTTATACTATATAGATTTCTTTTTTAAGGCTAAAGGTGGAGATATATGTATACATATATATATTTGGTACCAGGGATCAAACTCAGGACCTTACAAGGCAGGCACAGTGCCACTGAGTTAAATCCCCGGCCCTGTTTGGTTTTTTGAGACAGGGTCTCACTTTGTACCCCAGGGTGGTCTTTAACTCATGGCAATCCTCCTGCCTCAGTCACTCAAGTGCTACTACAGGTGTGCACTACCATGCCCTGCTAATTATTGGTTCTTATAGTATGTCAATATCCAGTTTGTCCTGGACAGTATTACTTACTGTTGCTGATTTACTTGATATTGCCAGGCTTGCATTATTGTTGCTATTAAGAGGATTTCTTTGTATGACAATACCTGGATTAGCTTTGTGACATTAACAAAATTGAAGTCCATTCCTGGAGAACTAGGTGCTGGGCCAATTACACTGCATCCTCCCCTCCCAAATCAAGATCTGTCTGATCTTGGGACACAGGTAACGGACTATAGTTAGCCATGCCCTGAGTTCATCATGGAAAAGCAGACTAACTAAAGGGTTCCTCATACTAGCAACAAAGTCTTTCCACTCTAAGTGACTGATCATAAACCTAAGCACAAAACAAAACAAACAAACAAAAACAAAATGACAAGACAACAAAATGCCTCCCCAAACTCCCAACTCTCTCAGAGCTGATCCATGGTGCAAATAGGAGGAGAAAAGCAAAAGCTATAAAAGCCAAATTATTTGAAAGGATAACAGAAGAGATTAAAAACCAGATCAATGAGGTGTTTGGCAGGATCACAGAAGATACAATATTATCTTGGTTTACAAATGCTTTTGTTTGCAAATAATTTTGTTCAGCAAACAGAAGTGTTTGGCAAAGTTGTGCTTTTGTTTGCAAACTCTGCATCTGGTGACAAACAGGCCAAGGCCATCTTTCCCACACAAACATAAACATGGCCATCTTTTCCAAAATTGTAGAACAAATTAAGTTCATGAACCAAGGCACCACTATATAAACAGATAATGGATATAATAAACAAAACGATCAGAGAGTTTACAGAAAACACTAAAAAAAGCTAGCTGAGTTAAACAAAATGATATAAAACATGAATGACCAGTTTAGCAAAGAATTACAGTCTGTGATAGGGTTCCAAAAAGAAATCCAAGAGGTTAAAAATTACACTGAAAGTCTGGATAGCAAAAGCAACCAATGTGAGGACAGAATATTAAAATTAGAAGATGGGGAGGTGCCTTCAAAGACCAATTACTCAGAGATTCCTTAAAAACGTTAAGAGAGGACTGCGGATTTAGCTCAGTGGTTTCACCGCCTGCTGCGCAAGCGCAAGGACCCGAGTTCAATCCCCGGTACCAAAAAAAAAAAGAAGGTTAAGAGAACATAAAAAATGGATCCAACAGTGGCTCGATGAAGCAAAAAAGACTAACCTAAGATTAATTGGAATAGGTGAAAAATCAGAAGACACCGCAAAGGGGATTTAAAAAAGAACCGTTTACAGAAATAATAACAGAAAACTTTCCAAATATAGGGAAAGAATTAACTTCCAACTAAGATTTATATATGCTGCAAAACAGTCTTTCA